GTCTACGGAGGCTCATGAAGGACAAACTGCGGTGGCAGTGTCAAAAACGGTTTTAGTTGTAAATGTAATATTTGTTGTCTGTCATTGTAGCTGGGATAATTTTACTTATTAAAGCTCATAATCTTACCACTTGAAACATCACTAGTCCTGAAGCTGCTGGTAGACATCGCGATTGGAATTATCAAAGGTTTTTGACACCTGAGAGACACCGTAGCAACTCCTTTGTGTTTGGAAGCAGGGAGTGGGGGTGGGGGGAGGACCAGGGAGGATGATTCAACCACTCAACCACTAGATGTTGCTAAAAACAACAAATCCTACACACAGTGCCTTTAAAGAGGTTTCTTCGAATAACCTTTTTGCCACCATTCGCCCCCTGCTGGCCAGTATTAAAAAAGCATCACTTCCACATTGGCTTCATTTTTCAGTTTTAAAGTGCTTGTCCATGTGTGCATCCACTACAAACATAATAAATAATCTACAACTTTTAAAATTATTATTAAATTAAAATATTTAAACTGTTATGTTTGAATTTTTATTCTTTAAAATGTCTATGCTATTTAAAGGAAAAGTGTCTAAGCCTGCTTCGAACATAAACATATGTTCGACATTCATAAGATCTGTGCCAAATTGTAGTTTTACCAAAGAATAAAATACCTCTTCAAGGTAACAAACCTGGAGCTGCACAATGTGTTGACATGCTATAAAGTCCACTTGAAAGGAGGATTTCAAATTGTGCAAACTGCCATAATGTKTTGGAGGTTTTTTTTGCCGTCATCGAGGAAATGAACAGGTGTCAAAGAGAAAAGAGAAGGAAGAGGGGCTGCCAGTTTGAGCAGACAGGAGACAGAAAGAGATCAGGATGAAAATAGGAAGCCCAGATAAGAGCAGAATGACAGGTGGAGTGAAAATGGTGCGAGATGTGATAGCAGAGAAAGTAAGGGTGCTGAGGAGGAGCAGGAGGGAAAGGTGAAAGACTCAGGGCAAGCTTGGAAGAAGGCAGAAATTCTGTGGAACTCATATGGTGACGAGTGGGCTGTAGARCTACCTTAAGTGTCATGTTTGGGTAGAAACACGTTAAGGGTTTTTTGTCTTCAGCTCACAATGCAAAACAGAAGTTTTAATCATAAATATTGATCCTCAGAGAAACCTCAGATTTTACCTTCTCCTTATTTCATTTCCTTTCTACTTTTTAGTGTWTTAGTTCAAACATCTCTATTTATGATACATATTTTATATTTTTATCAGGCACCTCTTTTGTTTCCTCATTAATAAACYATTAGCAAATGTGTTTCCTGAGTTACCTCATATAATCCTTTTACACCTTATTGCTAGTTKAAAAAATCTTGTACTGTATATTTCTGTTTGCATCTCACTTCACTTTTAAAGTGTGTGTGCGCATATCAAAACTGAATTTTTTTTGCATCTAAACGTCTTGAAATTAGCCTCTGTCTCTTTAAGAACCTCCTACCATTTCAGACACTTCCATTTCAGCACATTTTGAGGGAGGGGTGCTCTGTGGGGCGTGAGCTCAGCTGCCGACTGAGCTCCGGGGAGGAGCTATGTGCAAATAGGCGGGGCTTTGTAACAGCAAGTGTTGAGGCAGCTCCACATGACTACAGGAGATTCAAAGATTACTTAAACATGCATGGATGAGTCAAAGAAACACTCTGGATATGTTTTTGATAAGGGCATGGCATTATAACATGATATAAAGCTCATAGTCAATTT